AGATGTTGTCTGAAACACAGTCAGAAACTGCAAAAGCCTGATATGGTGCATTATGATTCTTATTGAACACTTACATAGTGCTTACCATGTGTCAGGCATTAATCTACATGCTTTACAAATATGAGCTCATTTAAGTTGCATAAGAACCAGATGAAGGAGGTAACAGTAATATTATTATCCCCATTTTCTTTTATTATTTTTTTTGCTGAGGAAGATTAGCCCTGAGCTAACATCTGTTGCCAACTTTCCTTTTTTTTTGGTTTGCTTGAGGAAGATGCGCCCTGAGCTAACATCTGTCCCAGTCTTCCTCCACTTTTTATGTGGGTTGCTGCCACAGCATGGCTGATGAGTGGTGTAGGTCTGCAGCCAAGACCTGAACACGTGAACTTGGGCTGCCAAAGTGAAGTGCCCCAAACTTAACCACTATGTCATGGGCCCAGCCCCATCCCCATTTTCTAGATGAGAAAAATGGAACATTGAGAGGTTAAGTTAACTTGCCCACAGTCACATGAATATTACACGAAGAGGCCGAATCCTAACCTAGGAAGCATAGCCTCACAGTCTGTGCTCTTAATCACTATATTATGTTGTTATCAAAGCAGTTCTAAGTTTAGTTTCTAAAAATCACAGGAGCTTCGAGGGCAGGGACTATGTCTTATCTTGACTCCCCAGTACATAGGTTCCTGCATATAGTTGATACAGGAATGTTAACTAAATGCGCACTAGATTAGGGAAAAAAAAGCACTTCATTTTTATTTAAGACTGCAGGGGGCATATTTGTTTTACTTACAAACGTATATCTTATTGTAAGCCATCTAAATCCCTGTTGTACATAGGTTGGATATATTTATATAATTATAATATGTCTAAATGATAGCTGAATGCCCTTATGTACTGGTTACTATGCTTGAGGCTCTACATGTATTACTTGATGAATCTTCTAAAATAAACCCTGAATGATAATATAATTGTTTCAATATCACTGACGGAGAAACTAAAGCTCAAGCAGATTAAGATAAGCACAGTCTCACGCTGGGATGGTGCACAGTAAGGATTTGATCCAAAGTCTGACTCTAGAGCCCACTTTCTTTTCATCAAATCATGCTTTTACCCACTTTTTATGGTTTTTCAAACATTTCTAGCCATTAGATATTCATTAGATATTAGGGATTCAACTGTTAACTGCCAAGGTGGTGACTACATTTAAAAAAGCAAATTATTTCTTCTAACACTACAATTCATAGTTTTCAACAAAGCAAATTGTAAATTTTTACTGAAGAGTCAGTGCTGCACTCTGAATTAATGTGAGGGTAACAAATAAGTGTGCACTTAGCATACTTAATATTTGGCTGTGGTTAAAATAGTAACTAAATAAAATAATATCCAATTACTTGAATTTTAAACACCTTCAACTCCAAAGTTAAAGCAGAAAAATCGTCATCAGTTCTCCCTTGAATTTGGGGTTAGGAAACTGGTGACTGGTAGGGGAATACCTGTTTATATAGCTCAGTCATGTCCTTCAATTCATACAGGTATCAAATTCTATGTCCAGCAAACAGCAGCACATCTGGCCATTAAACATTTTAAGAACAGGGGGCTCTGATACATGTAGGGTTGAAAGTCAAATGCTCTTTAAGGCAAGTGTCAGACTCCCTTTTTCTTTCCTCTATTCGTGTCCGTGCTGCAAAGCCACAGCAGGAGGTCTGCTGCTTGCACAGAAGAGCACTTGTGCTCAGAAGAGATCCTAGCTGTCAAAACTATCCTGAGATGGGAAACTAGCCCAAAGCAGCAGATCTGCTATCAAAATAATTTGACAGGTGAGTACATAGTCAGAATTGGGGGTATTCCCACCCGAATTCTCATTTGTCCCCCTTTTACTTTCTGATATTCACCAAAAAATTCATTTGGCAACGATATTTCTTATACCTTTGAAGACCATTTTCCAAGAAGTTTGTTTCTGAGGTGATTCAGTAACAGCTAATATTTATTGAGCATGTATTATGTGCAAGGCACGGAGCTAAGCACTTTTACATGCACAATTTCATTTTATCTTCATAATGAGAGTTTTGAAGAAAGTACTAATACTATTCTCTAAATCTGAGGTTCAGAGAAGTGGCTAATGCAAGTCAGTGCTGAACCTGGGTCTGAATCTAGCAGCGCAACTCAGGAGCCTGGCTTTTAAGCAGCATACTATACCCCGGGCCAACTTATGCAGTAGGTGTAGCGCCTAGGGCTCACAATAATTTTAGGGGTTCGCAAAAATGTTTTAATAGCTAATATTAACATTGTCATCTTTATAGTAAGTTATAAAGTAGAATTTTAAATCTCTTTATGGGGAAAGGGCTCACAAAAGTCATATGTGGCTTTGGCTATACTACTCTCCAAAGGTACAGTGGCTTTTATAGCATCTTTCAATCTTTCCCAATTTTCTCATTTCTCATATATTACCTAATACGGAGCTTCCTAACTGGTATGCCTGAGTCACAAACAAGTTACAACTCTTCTAAAAATCCTGAAAGCTATATATGAATATATGGTGTTCCCTCTTGTGATGGGTAATTTTATGTGTCAACTTGACTGGGCCATGAGGTGCCCAGGCAACCTTTGGTCAAACATTGTTCTGGGCATGCCTTCGAAGGCGTTTCTGGATGAGATTAACGTTTGAATTGGTAGACTGAGTAAAGCAGACTGTCTTCCCTAATATGGGTAGGCCTCATCCAATCAACTGAAGACAGCTTGTGGAGTGTAGATCCTGGGACTTCTCAGCTGCCATAATTGCACGAGCCACTTCCTTATAATAAATCTTCTCTCCTTAATCCATCCTCCTGGTTCTATTTCTCTGGAGAACCCTGACTAATACACCTCTATTTCATAAATGACTACATTGGAGTATAAAAAGATTAAGTGTTGAGAGTCTCATTCAGTTTCCCAAAAGGCTGTGTAAGACCAGCACCCAGGATCCTAGATTCTGGTTCTTATGCCACTCAAACGCATAGCTCCTTCAAAGCATCTTGTACTTAAGGTAATTCCTAAAATTCCTTCAAGATATTTCTAGTTAGTTTTCCTTTCTTCCTTAGGAACAGAACTTGACTAATGTGAATAGTTTTTAATATTGATAGCATTAGTTAGGTCTTGCTCTTAAGTGGAAGTTTAGAAGAAACATAAAATCCACCGGTAACTTAACCTTCCATTTAAGAGGATACCTTATGCCTCATCACCATGAAATATTAAGTAACATATCAAGTACAATCTATAACTGTATACTTATCAATCCCCCATTTCAAGCTATATAAGAAGAGTGACCAATTGTAATATTCATCATGCTCTAAAAAGATGGTTTGCCCCCTTTGCACAATTACTGGATACATTTAATAAAGTATTTCTATCTATTTTGGAATTAAAAACTAGAATTTCAGATTTTCTGAGGGAAAAATAACAAAAGGTATTCCTATCCAAAATACTTCAAATAAGCAAAGAACTATCAGGTCAAAATCTTAATTTCTTTCTTTTTTTAAAAAATTGAGATATACTTGACATATAACATTATATTTGTTTTAAGTGTACAACAATAATGATTCAATATATGAATATAATGCAAAATGATCACCACCATAAGTCTAGTTAACATCCATCATCACACATAGTCACAAATTTTTTTTCCTGTGATGAGAACTTTTAATACCTATTCTCTTAGCAACTTTCAAATATAGTAAACAATATTACTAACTATAGTCGCCATGTCGTACATTACATCCCCAGGACTTATTTTTGTTGCTTACTTCTGTGTTCAGTCGTAAGTTGTGTTCACCCACAGAAAGGAAAACTTGCACAAATCTTAGGCAGATGATTAAATAAATGAAGGTGAAAATATAGGACTAGTTACACTCAGTTTGAGAATGCTGACTTTCTGGTGAACAAACCAATAACTTAGTCTCAAAATAACATAAGACAAAGTATTAGTGATTCTCTTCTTTTTACTCTTTGTGATACTCCTAATTTTTAAAGCTCTCAAAACAAACCTTCATCTAATAACATTTTCCCAGTAGCAGTATCAATTAGACGGCTAATAAGAAAAAATGACTCGTAGCTTCCTTTTCTATAGCCAATTAATATAAAGAGATTACTTACCATTTACCTAAATTCTCAAATAAGGTCCAGAGTAATATTTCTTAAATTTTACATAAGCTCAAGAGTTAAATGCAGTGCTTATGACATTATCTCCTTTACCATACATCTAAGAAAAAGTCATCTTGGCTATTCCAATCAAGGTTCTTTTCTGAAACATTAGCAGGTTAAAAAAAAGAAAGAAAACTGTTCAAAAAATATACATAATGGTCTTTTAGAAAAAAGGAATGCTTTAAAAGTAAGGAGCATTTTGTTTTTTGTTGTCATCATTTTGTTTTGTTTTAAATCTTAGCCCAAAAAGTGAAGAAGAGTTTTGACCTCTTCCTAATTTGTACAACAGAGATACCACTACTTGCTTTTCTTTACAATTTATAAGAATGTTAACAAAAGGATGAAATATACTGAACTCTGGGTTCTCAGAAAAAAATATTTACTGAAGGGGAAGAATACTTCTCAATAAATGGTCATGTACTTTTACATAGTCAAGGCTTTTACATCAAGGCTTGAAACCTTTGAGGTTTGCTGGACTCACATCTGAGAATTAGTTTGACTAAGAACATTTTATAAATTTGAAAGGTTTCTTCTTGGTTGACTTTTCCCTACCTAAGTAACAAATTATTGCTGTAAAGCTATAATAATTGATTGTCTCTTGAGCCAAGGAAGATTTACTTTATTCAAATGTTAAGATACCCTTTTGGTAGGCTGAAAAAAAGAAAGTACTAAAAAATATGGACCAGGGGCCAGCCCGGTGGCGTAGTGGTTAAGTGTGCACGTTCTGCTTTGGCGGCCCAGGCTTCACCGGTTTGGATCCTGGGTGCAGACATGGCACCACTTGGCAAGCCATGCTGTGGCAGGCGTCTCACATATAAACTAGAGGAAGATGGGCATGGATGTTAGCTCAGGGCCAGTCTTCCTCAGCAAAAAGAGGAGGATTGGCAGCAGTTAGCTCAGGGCTAATCTTCCTTAAAAACGTCACAATGTCACATACCAAAAATAGTGAAAAGTAGAAGAATTCTGAAATGACAACTAGAGCATTTGTCTGACTTCACAAAACAAAGAACTGTTCCCCATGTTTGTTTAATTGAATTAACTGAGCTCTGAATTCTAAAAGACTCTTACAACATTCTGTCAAAGCAGGATTTGGACAAAACCACTCAATGGCACTCTGTTCAAGACAGAATTGTTGCATCCAGGTAAAATTCAACAGGAATAAATAATTTTTAAATTTAACATTAAAAAACCTAACGTTTATTACTGTTATTAATATGTGAGGATTTCTGTGTTGTCTCCAACACTGTAGCAACTAGGAGAAATATTTTAAGAAAAATATTAATAAATCTTGGGGCTGGCCCCATGGCATAGTGGTCAAGTGTGGCACATTCTGCGTCGGCTGGGGTTAGCCAATTTGGATCTTGGGCGTGGACCTGCACTAGTGGACCACTAGTCAGCCATGTTGTGGTGTCAACCCACATACAAAGGGGAAGAAGACTGGCACAGATGTTAGCTCAGGGCTAACCTTCCTCAAGCAAAAAAAAGAAAAAAAAAAAAGAGGAAGTGTAGCAATACATGTTACCTCAGGGCTAATCTTCCTCAGGAAAAAAAATTAATAAATCTAATCATCTTCTAGAAGACTAATGTACTTTTCCAGCAGATTCTGGAAAAGGAAGAAACTGCAGGGCACAAGCCTCCTTCACAACAGCATGATAAGAACGAATGTCACTTCCAACTCAGTCACTTACTCAGCAGGGCTTAGCTATTTCCCTACCTCAACTTCCTTTCAAACTTCTCCTTCAGTGCATTCCAGCAGTTTCTCCTTTCCAACATCTATTTCCAACTTCTACTCATTTTATATAACCCATTCAACAGAAATAGAAGCCTGAGGACTGAGCCAAACAAATCTCAAGAAGTCTTAAGCCATCTTGCCACATCTATACAGTTTTTGTTTTATTTTTACAAAATAGAATCATACTACAAAATTCTTATTTTTCAGTATTTTTTTGTTCATTTTAAAGTTTACTGTCATTTTTACCTTACAAAAGTCCTCTGAAGTAGATTTTACCTCTGTTTTACAGACAACTGAGTTCAGAAGTAACCTGTCCAAAAATCAGAAAGCTTCTGCGAGGCTGAGTCAAGATTTAAACTCAGCTCTGTACGATTCCATAAAGCCTATACACTTTATTACCTCCTATATCCAGTTATCAAATTATTTGTAACTTCAATCAACTTGTGTGATGCAAAAATTTCCTTTTCGAAGTGGTCATACATTTAAAAATTCATTATTGATGTTAAAAGTTCTAAGGCTATAAATTAAAGATCATCCAATACTGGTGTCACCCTATACTCCAGTAAGATGAAACTAAATAGAGAAAGGATTAGGTCAAAACTAACAGCCTTCTCTTTGCATTATATAATTAGAACACTCCTTGTTTAAAATTGCAAGCTTCTCCCTCAATAATAAATTACTCAACAGGAATAATACATTAGCCAAACCATGTAAAAACTGAATTAGTAAATTAAGCTATTCGGACACTCATAGTCAAGTGAAAAGTGATTAGCTGGGCACACCAACTGGTAATAAGATAATTTCTACAATATCTTAATGTATCAAAGGCATCAAAGCATGATGTATAAACATTTAAATTAACACAGACTTTGGAAGTATTTCCAATTGAAAAAGGTTTGCTTAGAACAAAAGATAACTGGAGAAGTAGAGTTTGTAGATTCTGACTTTATTATAGGTACCCTTAAAGTAAGCCTGTGGACCAAGTGTTATATATATCAGTTGTCAGTGTAAAGCAATGATTTTCAAGGGAGTGCTCTCTTCCACATCCCTGGGGTTGAGGAAAGGTTAAATTTAGCACAGGGTACAACTCAGGGCTGGGAACAACCTGGATGTCAAGCTGCACCTCTAGGGGCGACTTCAGGTCAAAATCAATCTTAACGAATCTTCTCTGAAAGAGTCTGAACTAGAAAAGGATAAAGTACAGGAGCTGGGGGCAAAAATATTCTCCCTGACATACTTACTCCCTGAGAACAGTAAACATAAATGTACATTCGCAAGAAATTATAAGCAAATAAATATAGCCACGATGAGTCAACCTATGGCTGTTGCTTGTTCTAGGTCTAAACTTTAATCTGTCTTATACCCTCACCACAGGTCTTTTAGTAGCTGTTAAATTATGAGCTCCACAGCTGCTTTTTTCAAATTCTTTTTCTAACCTTCAATGCCGTATAGGCTTTAGCACAGGGTGAGGTTTCAAATTCTGCCTGCTGTCTCCTGCAATGGGAATTATACTTCAATTTCCTAGGTATTCAATAGACAAAATTAAGAGACACAATTTTCTGAAGCTTAAAAAACGCCTTCTAAATTTCAGTGTAACCTTCTTTTAAAATCACTGTAAAGGTAAAAACTGAAGGATTCACCGGAATAGTTAATTAGCTAATTAATGAATTTTTACATAAGTTGTATTTATATTCGTCAAAAAACCAAGTTTGTGAATTTCTGTAAATATTAAAGAAACTCATTGAGATATAGAAAAATCTTTTTTTCTTTTTGAGGAAAGTGCCCATCTTCCTCCACTTTATATGTGGGATGCCTGCCACAGCATGGCTTGCCAAGTGGTGCCATGTCCACACCTGGGATCTGAACCGGTGAATGCCAGGCCACCAAAGTGGAACCTGTGAACTAACCGCTGTGCCACCGGGCTGGCCCCAATATACAAAAATCTGTTTTTTAAAAGAATAATTTTTTTTCTTCTGGGAAAGATTCACCCTGAGCTAACATCTTTTGCCAATCTTCCTCTCTCTTTATTTTTCCTCCCCAAAGCCCCAGTACATAGTTGTATATTCTAGTTATAAGTCCTTCGAGTTCTGCTAATGTGAGTTGCTACCACAGAATGGCTACTGACAGACAAGTGATATGGTTCCGCACCCGGGAACTGAACCCAGGCCACTGAAGTGGAGTGTGCCAAACTTTAACCACTAGGCCATCAGGGTTGGCTCATAAAGAAAAATATTAACAGGCATTATTATAGAACTGTCTATTTAAAGTTTACCAAAGGGTGGTGAAAAATTTAATTAATCTACAAATCAGGCAAGCATCATATATCATAAAGACTCCTTCAACAGAGACCCAATTTATTTTTTGAAAAGCTGAATTAGAAGCCTCCACAGCAATTAATATGTTATACAAAATAGAGAAAATCAGTAAATACCTGAACTGAAGTGGCTGTTTCCTGTAAATGGCCACCAGCAACTGCTCCTTTGGAAGTTGCTAAAGAGACACTGTGGGTTTTGGGGGTTCCGGGAGTATCAATCTTTTCATCTGTCCTATGTGACTGCCAGGCTTCCTTTCGATGATGAGATTCGGCAGCCTGCTGGTCTCCAAAAGCAGCCCAAGAGGAACTATCTTTCTGTCCATCTTCAAATGCATTCCAATCTACAACTTGGCTAGGACCAGCTGAACTGAAGTCCGCAAAATCATCAGAGTCTTGATAAGCAGTGCAGTCATCTTGAATATTTGGCACAGAATCAAAATCTCCAAACTCACCTTCTTGCCCAATTTTCAGTTTTGAAACAGGTTCAATGCCTATCCCAGTAGACCTTCTTGCCAACTTACATCCCTCTGATAAACTATCAGAAGTCTGTTTTAGGTCTGACTCAGTAAATATAACTTCCTCTTGGCAAGAAAGAGCATTTGTATCCCCAAATTCTCCAAAGTCATCACCTGGTTCACTAAAATGTGGAAAGTGCTCTGAGGACTCTTCAAAAGTGACATCACTCATTGAATCTTGAGTACCAGCAACGAGAGATGGAGTTGTGCCACTGGCTGTGCCAAAGTCACCAAAATCATCCTCATTAGTATCATTGCAAGTCACAAAGTCGCTACTACTATCACCATTTTTTACACTTATAGAATCATCCAAAACATTTTCTTCTGTAGGATCAATGCTGGGGCTTTGGGAATCAGTAAACTTTCTACTTTCTTCTTTGGAAGAACCAACTTCATCATCAGCATCAGAAGTTTTAATAGAATCCATGCATAGGTCAGCACATTTAGAAGTAAATAAATCAAGTTTTTCCTCAGTTTCATATTGTTCTCTCCTGGCCTCTGAATTATCAGCTGAGTCTACCAAACTCCAAGCCTCTGACTGAACACTTGAATTTAAAAATTCATCCTGTTGCAGTGTTACAAGGCCTTGTTTTTCAGTACTGAAACCTCTGGTACTCATTAGGCTTATTTCTGAAACATAAACCTGATCCTCTCCATCAGTGTCTCCTTTATCTTCAAAGCTTCTACTCAAAGACAAGTCTTTTACAGAACTCAGTTCATTGACTCTATTAATTTTATTGTTTTCCTGAATGGTTAGTGCTTCTCTGTCATTTAAAACTGCACATTCAATTTCTTCTAGTTGTATCCTTTCCTTTTTGGAAAATGTGGCAAAATCTGCAAATTCCTCAGCAGGACTAGGGACACAGTCTAAATCATACTCAGTACTATGAGTGCTAAGAGGCTTTTGTCCTTCTGAATCGGCTACAGTGTCCAGATCATCTATTCCCTGAGGATTTACAGTTTCCAATACTGTAAACCCATTTGTTAGAATCTCCAGACAAGGAGGCTTTTCACCATTGCAGCTCTCTAACTGCTTGTTTTGATGAACATTCCTATCAGTTCTAAAATCTCCCGGAGAGAAACTTTCAGGTGTTCCAATGTTCTGTCTCTGCTCCTCTACTTTATTTAAATCTCCTGGACTTTCTATGCCCTCAGTGGAAGTATCTAAAGTTTTAGATGAAATTATTTCTCTGCTGGTGGTAGAAAGTAAAACATCAGACTGTCCTTTCACAGGAGGAGAAAGTTCAGCAGTGCTGTCCTTACCATTATCAGTTTTAATGGACTTAAAGCTTGTAAGGCTATCTACTTTTTCTGAGAAATCATGAATTGGCATAAAATGGTTTGAAGGTACAAACTCTTCCTTGGGACGAGTATAATCTGGTGTATCAAAATCAACAAACCCTACACCAGAAGGGCTAACTTCTGAAAACCCACCAAATTCCCCAAATTCATCGTCATCATCATCCTCAGCTCCATTGTCTAGTGGTGGTGGGGATGAAGAGTACATTCGAATGATGTCTGGCTCCATTGTTCAACTGCTTTCAAATAATTAATTTACACCTGAAAAAAAAAAAGATTTTTGTTTTGGAGAGGACATTACATATAACAAGGTCTTTCAAAATTCTCTCAAAGCTACCTCAAAACAATGCAAATTTACAGTGCTCTCTTTTGTATCTTTTAAACAAGTTTTCTCTTAGGTAGGATTACTTTACACAGCTATACTACAACGGCGAAAAACAAAAATTCTCTCTTCTAGTGTACGCTCCCAAGGGTTTTGGTAGTACACTACTGAATTTGGGGATTCCAGAAATTTTTGAATAAACACTTACAAAAGGCCATCTACAAAATTCTCTCTTGGAGCACTTGCTTGTTCTCTTAAGCTCTTTCCTGTTCATTGGGGACTCAGGGCTTGCTTTATGGATTTATATGGGTTTTTTTCAAACAAAAGACATGAAAATTTTATCTTTAATAATTGCTACAAATATTTTTCTTACTTTGCTTTTCAATGTTTGTTTCTGACCCAAGTTAATTTGTTTTAGTAGACTTTATTTTTTAGAGCAGTTTTAGAATTGCAGCAGAAGGTGTGGAGATATCCCGTATGCCCTTACCCCCATGCATGTAGAGCCCCCTTTATTATGAACATCCTCCACCAGAGTAGTACATTCGTTACAGCTGATGAACCTACACTAACACATCATTACTACTTAGTCCACAGTTTATATTAGGGTTCACTCTTGGTATACATTCTATGGGTCTGGGCAAATATATAAAGACATGTATCCACCAATATAGTGTTACACATAATTTCACTGTCCTAAAAATCCTGTGTTCCCCTATTCATCCCTCCCTCTCCCCTGCCCCTGACAACCACTGATCTTTCACTGTCTCCACAGTCTTGCCTTTTACGGAATGTCATACAGTTAGAAAATACAGTATGTAGGCCACATATTGTATGACACGCGTCTAAGGTTCCTCCATGTCTTTTCATGGCTTGATAGCTCATTTCTTTATAGGACTGAATAATATTCCACTGTCAGGATGTACCACAGCTTAGTCTTTTATAACTTTCAATTTTGAAATCATGTAGGACTCATAAGAATTTGCAAAAATAGTACAGAGTTCTCACGTATATTCCACCCAGTTTTCTCCAATAATATGGTAAATAATGATAATATGTGATCAAATGAGGAAACTGATGTCAGTACAACAGTATTAACTCAGCTACAGACCTAGTTTAGATTTCACCAGTTTTTCCTTTGTGTGTGTGCGTGTACGTAATTCTATGAAATTTTATCACATGTGCAGATTAGATTTGAGTAACCATCACAACAATCGGGATAAGAACTGCTGCAAAAACAGTTCAATAATATTCATCTATATAAAGAAACTCCTTAATAGTCACATCCTTCCCTAAACCCTAACTCTTGACAGCCACTTACCTGTTCTCCATCTTTATAATTTTGCTACTTCGTGAGTGTTACGTAAATGAAACCATACAATATGTAACCCTTGGAAGCTAGCTTTTTTCACTCAGCTTAATGCCCTTGAGATCCATCCATGTTGTTGCATGTATACACAGTTCATTCCTTTTTATTGCTAAGTAGTATTCCACTATATAGATATACCACAGTTTATTTCTCCATTCGCTCCCTGAAGGACATTTGGGTTGTTTCCTGTATCTTACAATTACAAATATAGTTGCTGTGAACATTTGTGTACAGACTGTAACATGAACTTGAATTTTCATTTCTCTAAGATAAATACCGAGGAATGTGAATCCTGGGTCACACGGTAAGTGTATGTTTAACTTGATAAGAAACTGCCAAACTGTTTGCCCAAGTTAATTTTTAAGGTGTCAAAGCAATTGATCTTTTCATTACTAATTTTCTTCATTAAGCTCTACATGATATATTTATATATTTTATAAATTACATATTAACTCTATATTATATATTAACATATATTAACTCTATAATGTATATTGTATTAACTTTATAGTATATATTAACTATCATATAAGCTTAGGATTTAATAAATATTCACTTTTATTTTCTTCTACTTTTAGTGGGGTTTTTTACATTTAATTTTTAGTATGTCTAGAACTTATTTTGGTGTATGATCTAAAGCAAGGGTCTAAGTGATTTTTTTTCCTAAATAGCCAAGCAATTATCATAATCCCATTTATTGAATAATCCTTCTCACACTCATTAGTTTATGATATCTTCTCTTCTTATATTCTTAATATTTCTAACATTCTAATTCTTAAATGGAATCTATGTCTGGGTTACTCTCTTCCTCCATACCAAACAGTCAAAAGTGCCACAAGACAGATTTAACATTAAAAGCAAAGGGAGGATTAACAACCAAAGTCCTAGAATAAAACCAGCCCATAAACAATGAATTAATACTTCCTGCAATTCAGTTGCCAAGTTAGATACATGAAGAAATTCAACCAGTTTTGCAAGTCAGTTTTGCAGATTTTTAATAAAAAAATCACTTTCTTCCAACTCTCAGAATAAAATTCAGTAAGATCTTCCAGTTTTAGGGAGAAGGTACATTAGAAACCATATAATTTAATTTGGAAATGAGGAACATGAGGCCTACTGGTGATCAACTTTCCCAAAGGTCACACAGCTGGTTAGTAGAGAATGACTTCAGAATTTTGAAAAGGATCTTTGAGGTCAATGACCGGTCAGCACTGAGAGTTATTTCAAAGAAATGAGCAAGTCATGAGAAAAGTAAAGACTACATTGTAATATATCTACTTTAAACTGTCTTCCTCACAAAATCAGCATCATAAAGAAGGAAATAACTGCTTTAGTTCTGGGATACCTTCTTTACGATGCTGCTTTAAAGAGAAAAGCAAAAAACTAGTAAAAGATACATATAAACTCTATTTTCTTCCTTTGTCTAGAGTCCTGATAACTCCTTCTAATGTTTATTGTACAGGCTAATTTGATCTCTAACAGTTTCCTTGTAATTATGAAGTTAAAAATACCCTCTGATTGTTAATGAGAGTGTGGAGAAAAGGATACTTGTACACACACACTGCTGGTGGGTGTGTAAATTGTTACAAGGCTGCCAGAAGGCAATCTGGCTATACTGTACAAAAAAAGTAAAAGAAAATGCTCTAATGGAATTATTTAACTAAATTATGCTATATCCTTAAAACAGCATACTATGTAGCCCATAATATCATGATTCCTTTTTTCCCCCATTTAAAAGCACTCATAATGATGGGAACATGTCAAAAAGACAAAAAAGACAGCTTGAAGGGGCTTCTGGTTAAATTTGGGACAATTTGAATGTCAAAATAAACATAATAATAGATTATAATACACTGAACAAAATAATAAATTATCAGTCCTTAGATATAAACATGTAAGTGACTAAGCTGAAAGTTAGATGAGGAAGAAGACATTTGCAGTTTCAAAATACCTTCCCACAGCATACTTAATTACATAAAGCATTATCATCATCATCATCATCTTTTTTTGGTGCAGAAGATTGGCCTTGAACTAACATCTGTGCCAATCTTTCTCTATTTTGTATGTGGGATGCTGCCACAGCATAGCTTGATGAGTGGTATGTAGGTCTGTGCCCAGGATCTGAACCTGTGAACCCGGGCTGCCGAGACAGAGCGTGCGAACTTAATTACTACACCACAGGGCTGGCCCAGCATACTTAACTACAAAGAGAAAAAGTGCCAAAGCCTAACATTTAATCAAGTGATCAAAGTGAACATCATTAGTAATAGGAATATAGAAATCATGCATCACCTGACAAGATGCAATGAGAAGAACATGGGATCACTTCTGGAATATTCCTGCCAAAATACATAAGCTGAATTGATTCATGAGGAAACTTCAGACAAACTCACACTGAGAGACAGTCACAAAACAACAGGCCTGTAATCTTCAAAAATATCAACGTCATGAAAGTTAAAGAGAAATTCAAGAACTGTTCCAGATTAAAGATGACTGAAGAGATATGACAAGTAAATGCAAGACTTGATTCTCACCTGGCTCCCCTTTCCATAAAAGTCATTATTGAGACAACTGTGAAACCTGAATAGAGTGCAGGGATCAGACAGCAGCAAGGTGTTGATGCTAATTTCTTGATTTTGAGGGTAGTACTGTGGTTATGTAAGAGAATGTCCTTGGTTGTAGGAAATACACAGTGAAATCTTTGGAAGAGATGGGACATCAGCTTGGTAAAAGTCTCAAATTGTTCCAGAAAAAAACTTATTTGTGGGGCTGGCCCCGTGGCCGAGTGGTTAAGTTCGCGCGCTCCGCTGCAGGCGGCCCAGTGTTTCGTTGGTTCGAATCCTGGGCGCGGACATGGCACTGCTCATCAGACCACGCTGAGGCAGCGTCCCACATGCCACAACTAGAAGAACCCACCACGAAGAATACACAACTATGTACTGGGGGGCGTTGGGGAGAAAAAGGAAAAAAATAAAATCTTTAAAAAAAAAATTTAAAAAACCAAAAAACAAAAAACAAAAAAAAAACTTATTTGTACTGAACTTGCAACTTTTTATAAGTTTGTGATCTTTTCAAAATGAAAAGTGGAAAAATTAAAAGCATTCAAGGAGATTTACGTTTGCAATTAAATATGTATGTTTTATAATTAACATCTGCTACTTATATAATAATAATGCCTCTTTTAAATTGTGGCAAAATATATATAACATAAAATTTACCATTTTAACCATTTTTAAGTGTACAGTGCAGTGGCATTAAGGATATTCACACTGTTGTGCAACCATCACCACCATTCATCTTTAGAACGTTTTTTATCTTCCAAAATATCAAAATATCTTCTGTACCCATTAAACAATAACTTCCCATTTCCCTTCTCCCTCAGCTGCTGCAAGCACCCTTCTACTTTCTGTCTCTATAAATCTCACTACTCTAAGTACCTCATATAAGCAGAATCATAGTGGCTATCCTTTTGTGACTGGCTTATTTCACTTAGCATAATGTCCTCAAGGTTCATACATGTTGTAGCATGGGTTAGAATTTGATCCTTTTTGAGGCTGAATATTATTCCATTGCAAGTCTATACTATTGTCTGTCGATGGACAGTTGGGTTGCTTCCACTTTTTGGTTATTGTGAATAATGCTGCTATGAACAGGGGTATACAACATACCCAACTGTTTTACCTTTTTATTTTGAAATAACAATAGACTTAACAGAAAGTTGCAAAAATAGTAGAGTCCTGTGCACTCTTCACCCAGCTCTCCCTAATGGGGACATCTTATACAGCTCTAGTACAATAGCAAAACTGGAAATAACCTTGTTGGTATATTACTATTAGACTACAGACTTTATTCAGTTTTCACCACTTAAAAAAACCCAAACTTGCATTCATTTGTGCTTGTGTATAGTTCTGTTCAATTTTATCCCATGTACAGATCTGTGTAACTACTACCCCTTTCAAGACACAGAACTGCCCCCACTCGCCCACCCTAGCCCTGCCCCTGGGCAACCACTAATCTGTTCTCTATCTCCATAGTTCTGTCATTTCAAGAGCTTTATGTAAATGAAATCATACAGGATGTAATTTTTTGAGGTTGACTTTCTTTCACTCAGCATAATGTCCTTAACGTCCATCCTGGTTACTGCATGTATCAATAGGTCAATCATTTTTTTTTTTTTTAAAGACTGGCACCTGAGCTAACAACTGTTCCCAATCTTCTTCTTTTTTTTTTTTTTCTGCTTTATCTTCCCAAACCCCCCTGTAAATAGTTGTATATCTTAGTTGCAGGTCCTTCTAGTTGTGGGATGCGGGACGCAGTCTCAACGTAGCCTGACGAGTGGTGCCATGTCCGCACCCAGGATCCGAACCCTGGGCCGCAGCAGCGGAGGGCGCGAACTTAACCACTCGGCCACGGAGCCGGCCCCCTTTTTTATTTTCCTGCTTTCTTATAGGTCAATCATTTTTATTGCTGAGTAGTATTCCACTGTACAGATATAACAGTTTGTTCAACAATTCACCAACTGAAGGAGATACGGATTATTTTCTACATTATCATCAATAGTATATGCTACATTAATAATATATATACTAATAGTATATTTCAATAGTGTGTATATAATAAGATACTAAGAACATTTACGTACAGGTTTTTGTGCAGACCTAAGTTCTCATCCCTCTGGGATAAAAGCCCAAGAGTGTGATTACTGGGTCTTATGGCAAGTGCATGTTGTGTAAAAAACTGCCAAACTATTTTCCAGAGTTCTGTACCATTTTACATTTCCATAACACTTTATTTTTAAAGAACCATCTGTGATTTTTGTTTTAGTAGAATCGTTCATGGTTAACCTAATGCTGTTTCTAAAACTTTTCATTGTTTGAAAAATGAAATATTTTACTGGTTCAAGGCCCATTTCAAACTCAGATGTTAAGGCAAATACGAAGACCTGAATCGGGAAATTTTTAACCAAACCAACAACACAGTAAGTAGTTTTTCTTCCTGTCACACCTTGGTAAGGTACTCTCTCTCTTTTTCCGGCTAGGTGCAATAGACTCTATCAGCCTCCTAGACTATGAACATTTCCATATTTCTCAAAACTGTGTCATCTACTCATGGGAAGAACTTGGGTTGCACATTCCCCTCCAGCAGATCTGGGCTCTGGCCCAACTCACCCTTCAGAAACTCAAGAGAGTGCCACTGCTCCCAAGTTTCAGCCAAGAATGCCAACCAGCCACTGTGGAAGAGACCTGAGACTTTCCAGAAAATTTTTCTGTGTCCAGGCCAACTCAATAAAATTTGTTAATTGAAGTATTATTTGTTAATTTTTAACTGAAGTATAATTTGTATAAAGAATTTATATACAGTCATGTGCCATATAATGAGGTTTTGGTCAACAAAGGACCACATATATGATGGTGGTCCCATAACATCAGTACCACATAGCCTAGGTTTCTGGTAGGTTATACTATCTGGGTTTGTGTAGCTACACTCTATGATGTTTGTACAATGACAAAATCGCCTACCAACACATTTCTCAGAATGTATCCCTGTTGTTAAGCAACAAATGACTGTATTAAGTTTGACTTAGACAAATCCACCTTTTTTTTTTTTTTACATAGAAAATATGGACTTTAAATAGCTATTCCTTCTTCACAGGAAAAAAGAAAAGGGATAGATGAGCTACTTTAATACTGTGCCTGGCACAAAGCAACCTCAATAAATGTTTTTTCATCTTCTTAATGGACTATTTACTCCATACCACAAGGAGTCTGAAATGACTTGTCCAATTTCTTTATAACCTAAACAAGCACTCGTGTGTGCGTGTCTGTGTGTGTGTTTGTGTGTGGTGTCTGCGGGGAAGGGGGTGTGTTCACCTTGCCATTTTTATGTCTGCTTATTCTAAGACCTGTTAGAGGGGAGTAAACAAGTAATGTGGGTACCTAGGAAAGATTCAAGCCATAGTATTTACAAACAGTAGACATGAGGCTCTCATGGTTGAGCAGTAAATGGGGTATGCTACAGATAGTGAGAGCATGGAGATAGAGAATTTCAGGGGACCTCCTGTACTTTGTAGATTTGTCCATGGGAAATCATATCCTTACAGAAAGACTAGGGGACAATCAGGTGAATAACAGCAATTAAATATCAAGCCAAAGAAGACCTTCAGGGCTACTAACCATGAAAATAAAAGGGTCTTTGGTTTGGAAATTCTGGTATAAGAGGTCCAATACAGAGGGGTTAGGGTAACAATCCACAAGTCCTGCAGCAATCAGCCGTGGAACTCTGAGCCCTGTGCCAGATCAGCAGCCAGGGTGACAGAGCATATGAAGGGTGAAAGTGATCCAGTATTAATCTCTCACAAGAACAGGAACTACACTTGCTTAAGGAGTTCTAGCCTCAAGTCTGAAATGGTCATGAAAAAGAAGAGATAAGTCTGTAGTTGAAAGCTTTCGGGCCAAATGGCAAGGTAGGTCTGGGAAGGCAGAAGAATGAAAAGAGGAATGGGCCCAACTATATGGCCATTTAAAAACAGTTTCTCAAGAAGAACAAAGTTTGAGGACTTAAACTATAAGATATTAAAGCTGGTTTAAAGCTACATGGTCATGTGATAACAAAGATACCACTGCAGTGTGGTGGGGAAAGGACAGTCTTTTCAACAAATGGTGCTAGGTCAACTGGATATCCACACGGGGAAAAGTCTTTGATTCTACCTAATATCTTAGACAAAATCAACTGCAGATAGATTGTAGACCTAAATGTGAAAAGTAAAACAACTAACCTTCTAGAAGATAACGTAAGAGATTATTTTCAAGACTTTAGGAAAGGCAAAATGTTTTAAATAAGACACAGAAAGCAGTAATCATAAAAGAAAAAATTGATAAATTGGACTTCATTAAGATTAAAAACTTCTGTTCCTCAAAAGAACATTAAGAGAGTGAAAAGGCAAGCCATTGCCTGGGAAAAGATATTTGCAATACATGTAATTGTCAAAGAACTCATATCCAGAATATGTAAAGAATTCCTACAAAGCTATGAGTCAACCCAATAGAAAAATGGCCAAAATATGTGAACAGATATTTCACAAAAGAGGATACTCAAATGGCCAATAAGTATACGAAAAGTCATCAGGGAAATGTACATTAAAACCACAATAAGACACACCCGCCAGAATGGCTAAAATTAAAACAATTTTAACCATACCTACTGACAGCAAAGATGTGGAACAACTAGGATTCTCATACTTTAATGGTGGGAGAGTAAAGTGGTATACCCATTTAGAGAATTGTTAGGCAGTAGCTACTAAAGCTGTATCAGGTATATAGCCCACAAAAGTGAGTACATTTTATGCACTAAAAAGATATGAAGATATGTACAGGACTGTTCACTGAAAGACATATACAAGACTGTTCATAACAACTTCATTCTTAACTGAATATAACCCAAATGTCTACCAACAGGAAAATGGTTAAAATAAATCGTGGTATATACATACTATGGGACACATGGCAATGAAATGAATTATTATGACAAGCAACAACATGGATGACTATTACTACATAATGTGTGAAAGAAAGATAAACACACCCAAAATACATATTATATGACTCCATTTCTGTGAGGTTCAAAACAGGCAAAACTAATCCATGGTGGTAATTGAGAATAGTGGTTACCTACAGGGTAGAGTATTGACTGGAAGGGGGCATAAAAGAGCCTGCTGGATGCTAATAGTGTCAACTATCTCTTGATCTGGGGAGTGGTTAGAAGGGCAAATAACATTTGTAAAGATTCATCCTGTCGTATACTTAAGATTTTTGAGCTTCGCTCTATGAATGCTATACATCAATAAAGAACAAAAAATGTTTCTCATAAAATCAATATATTTAGATTAACAGCAATTACATTACAAGTGAATGAACACATGACCATAGTTATAAATATACTATTTTATTAAAAAAAGTTTTGCTTATTCATCCCTTGCCTTATTCTGGGATTTAAGGCAATATATGAATGTCTCAAGACGTAGCATGGTATGGGGGAAAGATCTTTGACTTGAGGTCAGATAGATCCTAGGTTCAGATTCCAGTTTCCCCACTTACTATGTGAGTTTGCCCTCTCTGAGTTTCAGTTTCCTATCTATAAAAAGGGACTAGCAGTCCCTACCTTTCAATGCTGTTGTGAGGACTACAGATAACAGACCTTCAGTACCTGGCACATTCTGTGTACTCAGTAAGTTATCAACCATCATCACATTTTAACTTTCACGAAGTCTGTACCTCAAATAATCTCCCCTTAACAAAAATCTAAGTCAATGTTTGCTGAGTTGGCACAAACATTCACATGACTCTACATATACTTTAAAAGGTCACTGAAAGAATAGGTCATTTAAGAAAAATACTACCAGGGCCGGCCCCATGGCTGAGTGGTTAAGGTTCCGTGTGCTCTGCTTCAGCGGCCTGGGTTTGCAGGTTTGGATCCCAGATGCAGACCTATTCCACTCAGCAGGCATGCTGTGGAGGTATCCCATATGCAAAACACAGGAAGACTGGCACAGATGTTAGCTCAGGGCTAATCTTCCTCAAGCAAATAAAGAGGAAGATTGGCAACAGAGGTTAGCTCAGGGCAAATCTTCCTCATCAAAAAAAAAAAAAAAAAAAAACTAAAGAAAGAAAACTATTACCAACCACACTAAAGATACACAAGGTTGACTTTATTGCTAATTTCTATAACCAATCCTAGAAAATACAATATAATACCCAAGGTTGAAGGACAAAGACCATAACCTCTGAACCAATTCAAGGGACCAGTCTGTTAAAAGATGGAGGTTATGAAGAGGAAAAGGACAATGCACCCCAGAAGCTCTCACCAGTACCTTGAAGTAAACTGACTATAGATACTATAGTTAGAGGAAAGACCACAAGAATAAAGAATTCTAAGAAGGTGCCTGGTTGGGATGGAAAGGATTCTATAGATTCCTCTAAGAGAGAGTTAATCCTTGACCATCACTCTACTCTCCATCATCCACACAAAGTATTAACTACCCTAAAAGTCTTTGAGCTCACATCTGGTGGTAGTGGTGGGATCTCTAAGAGGCCCTCTAGCAATCTCCTGGAATCAAACATTGAGAGTTCCTTCCAGACAAGCTAAAAACTCAACAGAGAGAAACTCCCAGCTTTCCCAGGGCACCAGCCCAGCTGCATCAATGAGTGCATCAACTTTGAAGGCCAGATAAGCACACCAAAATTACAATCCAGCTTTACTGAGGACCCTTCACCCCAAACTTATTTTTATAGGGACTGGGAGTGCAGGGGAGTGAAGGAGAACACAAGCAGAAAGGATGGTGTGGGAAGAAGAGGGAAAAGAAAGATAAACGACTGTATCTGAAGTTATGCCACTGACTTAAATAGTACAAACTACACCAGCAAGGTTTATTTAATGGATCACACCCAAAAAATTCACTACCTTTTTACCACAATATGTCTGAGGTTTATAATTAGTCACTTGTTAAATCATTTGAGTGAAAAAAAAATTTGCATTTTCTTTAGAAAAATCAATGACAATGTTACATAAGCAATTAAAAACATCAATTTGCATTACAAATGTTGCCTATTACAGTAGTTCAAATTATTCAAACCTATACTGTAAGATCCTCATGGGAGTTTTAAGATACTATTGAAATGTACTGTCAATGAATCTGCCCAGCCTACGTTCCTGTTTGATAGTCATCTTGTCATAAAGAAAGAGAAGAAAAAGCCCTTCTTTTGAGCTATATAAAGGTTTGGATTTTAGCTAACTTTCTGGTTTTCAACACATCTAGAGATGACTGGACCACAATGTCACAAAAGTTTTCATGCCTCTAAAATTTAAAATCTACAAAAATGATAATTTTCATTTTTTCTTTTTGAGTGTTTTGTCCTCAGCATATTAGCTCAAAGGCAGCTAACAAAACAGGGAGACCCTCTAAAAATAGACGTTTTTAAGTAAAGAATTGAGAAAGGCTTTGTTGTTGTTTATTTTTAGGACTATCATCCTCCCTTCAAGAGGCTGCAAACTTTAAGGCTACTTAATCAAACTCCCACAATCCTAAAGCTGAATATTTTTAAGAGATCTCATAATTCCTTCAAACTTGCCAATTTAAAAACAAAAACCCAAGACATCATAGACATCAACTGTATCAATATGTCTTCAACTGCATAATAATATGCAGTATTATTTAAGACATTTGTTAAATGGATAGTATATTCTATGTGCTTTCGTTCTCTGCTTATAGCAATATCAAGTTAATATTTATTCAGTGCTTACTATGTGTCGATACTACATGAAAAGCATTCACGAACTATCTCATTTAGTCCTCACACTATGCTATGAGGTAGGAATTATTATCTTCATTTTACAGCTAAGAAATAAAAACTTTAAGAGGTTAAATAATCCCTCATGGTAGTAAAACTAGTAGGTGGTAAATGAGTTACAAGCTAATAAAATATTTGAAAAGTTTCTTATTGCAGAAACAATTGACAGTAAATATTAGAATTACAAGAATCTTCCCTAAAAGGTTTCTGAGTTATTCAGAAAAATGTTTCTCAAACTTCCACAATAATTCGGAAGGAGAAACAAAGATGCTTACAAGCTAAGATGAAGAAAGCATAACCAACAAAAATACCAAGAAGTGAATCTCTTGTTTCAATATTAATGTATGTGGTGGTAAAAATGCAGTAAACAATGAAAATAAGCAGCAAAATATCTTTATACCTAAATTGATCAGCCTCGAAAGACCAGACTGCCAAAAGTGACACATTTTCTGTCTTCTTGGTTTTGATGTCAATTAGGATGATTCACAAAAGTACAAATATCATATACATAATGTAAAGGACAACAGGAGCAGTAACACACATTCCTACTCTTCAATGCACGTTGCTAAACCAGCAATAAGAGTTATCATTTTCTAGACGCTAGTTTTCAAAAATTCCTAACAGCTTTTCTTTTACTGTATATTTTAACCTTCTATGCAAATCCATAAGGCATTTTACTTATGTTTGTATAGTTTCAGAGTAAAAATCAAATAAGATAAATAAAAACATTAGAAACTGTTTCACCTTTTACTCGTCATATCAACTGACCACATGTGAGAGTTCACTACCTATTATTCCCAAAAGGTACTTTGACTTGAAATTGAATAAATGACATTGGATAACTGTTGATAACAAAGGCAACAAAACCAAATCAGCAATGAGGATAGATGCATTAGCCCTTGGAAAACAGTTTTTTCCCCCTAGTATTCTCTGCTCATATTATATAGCTGCTGAACAAATTAGCCACCCTAATTTCCCTGAAACCTTACAATGAAAACAGAATCAAAAAGTAGGAACTATATTTTAATTTCCTGTCCCTTCACTAAAATCTTGCTTACATCCACAATATCGTCTATAGATAACCCTTTCTGTTTTCTTTCTCAGTTGCTTGCTCAGGGGGCTCTCTGAATTTCTCCATTACTAACTGATGCTTTCTCATCAGCCTGGAAATGTTCAGGACGCTTCCATCCTCAAACAAATCAGAGCAAACAGACCCCTCCCCTCCATGCCCCGCTGGCTCTCCCTGCTCCTCACTACCAAGCTTTCTGAAAGGGCCCTGTCTATTCACTGTCTCTACCTCCTAACTTCCCACTCATTCCTCCACCCAGCACAATCTGGCTTCCCTCCTGCCACTCCACTGAAACTGCTCTTGCCAGTCACTTTACTTGAGCTCAAAAGACTGGAAATGTTGTGCATGCATAGGCCTCTGTTGTTGACCACTACATCCTCAGGGCCGGGCTCACAGCAGGAACTGAATACATCATTATTGTTCTTGCTGGGGCGTTTATTCCACTGACCAATCTTGCACTGCCTCCTTCTTCACCCCTCG